TCCTGAGATTGAAGCTCGAGCCGGTGACGAGTGATTATTAATATTTGATATTTTCAGAAAAAGTAATAATTTTGAGAATTTGAGAAAAAGTCATAATTTTGAGAATTTGTGAAAAAGTTATAATTTTGAGAATTTGTGAAAAAGCCATAATTTTGAGAAAAAGTCATAATTTTGAGAATTTGAGAAAAAGTCATAATTTTGAGAATTTGAGAAAAAGTCATAATTTTGAGAATTTGTGAAAAAGTAATAATTTTGAGAATTTGAGAAAATGCCATAATTTTGAGAATTTGAGAAAAGGCCATAATTTTGAGAATTTGTGAAAAGGCCATAATTTTGAGAAAAAGTGAGAGAAAAAAACATAATTTTGAGAAAATCCGAATTTTGAGAAAAATACAGCATTTTGAGGAAAAAAATTCATTTTGAGAAAAAGTCATAATCTTTAGAAAAAGTCACAATTTTTTGAAAGATTCATAATTCCTCCATCTTGTGACTGTGTAACTCCCTCTCTTGGATATCAGCATGTGAAGGACACTGTTCAGGAACTAGTTGATGCTCTGTATGTGATGACTACTTCCATTCTGGAGAGGATCACAGATACATGGATCCTGAGATTGAAGCTCAAGCCGGTGACGAGTGAGATTTTTCTAACACATCTAAAAGAGGTTTTTAAGTCTCGCTTTCCTCTGAGATGTTTTTATTCAGCAGTAGTGAAGGTGTTAGCAAAGAGATGTTTTCCTTGAAAGATAAGACCTACCTTTGGTCGGCTCACAGCGCTTGGGCAGATCGATTGTGTCGTAGTTTTTGTCATTGTCACCGTTTTTCCTGCCTGGGTAGAGGAACAGGAAGGAAGTCAAAGTTAGTATTACAGTATATCCCAAATACCGATATGTGTTTTAAAACAGGGGTTCCCAAACTTTTCAGCTAACAGTGCCAGAGGCTGGCGACCCCCTGTCGACGGGGGGTGGGGGGGGTTGCTAGTCAAACACTGCGCTAGTGGATTGTCAAAGGGGGAGCCTCGTTGCGGGGAAATTATACAGATGGCTAGTCCGCCCCTGAAAATGTCTATGTAAACGTTATTATTAATAATAATTTTTTTTAAAAAATAATTAAAAAAAAAAATCCATTTTTTTTTATAATCTTTTTTTTTTCACACTGTCTGCTTTTTAACACACCAGCATGACGACAACGATTAAATAAACTAACTGTATGAGTACCAGGACACAAACACACATATAACGGCATACAACTTAGTTCAACAATCACATACAAACACTTTGCTACTGTAACTGTAATGCAGTGAAAGAGGGAGAATGGAGAAGGTCATCTCACATGCACATGGACTAACAGGGATATACATTAGATGAAAAATAAAACTTCCAGTCACTAAATATGACCTGTGAAAATGCAGCACACAAACATGGCTTACTTTAAGCTCCTCAAACTAATAGTTCAGCATTTTAAGAGAATACACTTACTTTCCTGCAGAGAGTTAAAGGATTTGATTGATGTCACTGTACTGTTGCTGTATGAAACACTACACTACAGGCAGCAGGTGATTAGCTTAGGCTACATTAGTTAATGCACAGTGGTATTTATCTTCTCACCCAACTCCCATATTTTCACAAAATGTGAAACTACTCCTTACGGACCAATTAGTTAAGAACTATTAAATATATAGCCAGGCTGCTGTATATTCGTAAAACTGGTGATACTTATAGTAGCCATCTTTGCACTCTATGAAACGTTTTATGCCCTCCCTCGCTAATCAAAAATGGTATGTGTTTATCTGTTTAAGTGCTTTTAAACCAATGTAGATTTCTTCACTATTAAATATTGAGGTAGGGGCTCATCAACTGTGATCTAAGGACTGGATAAGACTAAAGGCTCCTCTGTTAGAAACAAGGAAAGACTCCTTTTAGAGATTTTGCTCTGGACCTTAACCACACTTTAATTGCATTTTTAAATTTTAGTTATGGGTACTTTTTAATGAAGTACATTTCAAAGCCTCTTGAATTTCACTTGCGTAAAGAAGTTTAGTCAGTACTTCTACTTTTACCAGAGTATTTTTAAACACGAGTATCTGTACTTCTACTTGAGTAAAGGATGTGTGTATTTTTGCCCTCTCTGCATATCGACATCATGCCACCAAGCACCAGCTTTTACTATAGTGTCAAGACCTATTTCTGTACAATTATGTCACAGAAGTTGATTAAAAAAGTGCTTTACATAAACTATGTAAATCTGTATGTTGCTATTTTTGTAATGTAACCTATTCCAGGGGTGCACATAACTGGTACGCGGCAAACATCTGAAATGCGTACCTGTCTCACTAAGCGCATTTGCGTAACGGCGGACTTGTGAAGCATTTCCACTGGGCGACAGAGCCGGTCGCCGTGCTGCTGTTAACGTCGGTGGCCGTTTCTCAATCGCGAGGAAACTGGCTTCCAAGCCAATATTTCAAGGATGCTACGTCATCGAGTGCCGCCGAAGGACCGTTCCAATCTCCAGCATACTTGGAATTCGACCGAGGCCGCGTCCTTGGTTTGGGGGTAATTTCGAGGCTGCACATGGGTAGACTTTGCGTCCTTAAAATCCCGACAATGCTTTGCGCACGGATTAATTTCCCCAAATCTGTGGCGGAAAAGGTAAGGCGGGGCCTCTCATATGACGCACACCTGCACACTTGCTAGCCTGTTCCACTCTTCGTTTTCCGAATACCAGGAAGGATTCTTGCCTAGCTTCTGAAGCAAGTGACTCGGAAGACATGTGCTACCAAGCAAGCATCCTCGCGATTGAGAAACGGCCGGTGTGTACAACGGAATTGTGCCACAACTTCCGGCGCAAGTTCCACGCGCGTGCTCCATTAGCGCCCACCCCCACCCCTCCCGTCGACGTTCAATACC